TGCTACCGTTTTTAGCCCCCCCCCTCCCTCCCACCCCGGTAGCTTTGTTTGCTTAGCATCTCCCTGGCACTGCAGAGCTCAGGGGCTGCCTGGCGATCCCTTCCCCGAGAGAGTCTGTTTGAAGTGGGCGGTGGGGGAAGCCCGGAGGATGCAAGATGTTTGACTTCTTGATTTCTCTCCCTCTCTCTCTCGGCTCCGGCTCGGGGAGGGGGGAGCCGAGGAGGCGAGCCCCAGCGCCTGAGGAGCACGGGGGTGTTGGGAAGAGGCTGCAGATCCTTGACGGGGGCATCTGAAAGGGAAATCGCCTGCTCGGAGCTGCCGCCGCAGCCGCCTCCGGCCGCCGGGCTGTGCGCGGTCGAGGAGCTGGACCCGCTATGCCCCCGGCCCCTTTGAGAGAGACCGAGGCAGAGCTCGTGGCAAAATGTTCCTGACCTGCGACGGGACCTTGGGGATTGTTCCAGCCGCCATGGATTACAATGGGGACGCCAGGCCCGGGGATTTCCACGCCGGCTACCAAGAGATCGAAGGGATCAACCTGGGATACTTACAGATCAACGGCACCCAGATGTTTGCTCTGGCTCAGGTCCTCAGCGACCTGTTTAAGGATATCCCCCGCACCACCATCAGCAAGAAGATGGAGACGCTCAAGATCAAGAGCCGGCGCTGCGACCTCCAGGAGCTCCGCACCCTCAAAGCCATCCACTCCGTGCCCACCCGCGCCGTGAAATGCTCGCTCATCTCCAAGGCGGACCTGGAGGCTCTGTGCACCTCTTGCAAGAGCCTCGGCCCCGGCCGGAGGAAGAGGAAGAGCAAGCGGAGGGAGCAGCTGCTGCTGCCGGGCCCGGGGGAGCTCTTCCAGTGCCCCCGGCCGCCGCTGCTGGCCGCCTGCTGCGGGCCGGAGCCCGGCATCCGCTCCAAGCTGGCGCCCGACTTCGCCAAGGCCCCGGGCGGGCTCCTGGCCGAGCCCTTCTTCCCCAGCAAGAAGGGCTACAGCCTGGAGGGCCCCGGGGGGCTCTTCGCGGGCGTGCTGAGCGCCTACCCCCGCGACCTGCAGCTGCTGCGCCCGGCGGCCCGCGAGC